AATCCTCTAAGCTTTGGAAAAGAAATAGCCTGACTGAACTTGATCCAAAATAAGCCCACTCTTCTCATTCCACGTTCCCCCACCGGGCCATCTATCTCATTGACTTCTTAGGGCTTTCTTCACCTTCACCGTGTCCAGGTGGTTGACTCCTAAAAGTCGATCTTCAGCCCAGATGTCTACTCATATTCTGAGCTAGAGATTCTAGCCCTGAACTGGAATGCAAGCTCTATTTTGTTTTGTACATTGCTGTATGTCCAAAGCCAAAGCATTGTCTGGCACATAGTAGCTACTCAATAAATATTTGTTGAATGAATGAATGAATGAATGAATGAATGAATGAACAAACCGCCCTCTACAGCTAAGATGGTGAACAACAAGTCAACCTGGAGCTGGGCTGCTGTGAGCTACACCGGTGGGCAGCGATGTAGGCTGCAGTGGGGCTGGCGAGCAGCTGGCATGCGCTTTCGTGAGCTGCCGTGAGCAGCCGTCCAATGGCCAGCAAGCGGCTGCCTCACCCGGAAAGAGCGCAATGATAATATCAACATGGGCCAGTGAAACGACTCCTCCACAACTAGACTGAACAACAAAAGGACAGCAACTTGTCTGTGCCCCTTTCTGATTCCCCAACCTGTTACCCTCCCCAAATTCCCCAATAAAATCTTTAAAAAAAATGTTTTAAATTGTAAAATCTGCATATTCATTCTAAAGATATGGAAAGTACAGAAAAAAACTTCCAAAAGATAACAAAGGGGCACCCCAGTCGGGACCCCCCCTCTCGTTTGGAGAGCTCTAACTTTCTGCTCTAATAAAACTATCCTCTGCTACAAACTTAAAAAAAAGAAAGAAAAAAAATCACCAATAATTCCATTATGCAGTGATAACTATAGTGTTTTGTTTTGGTACAGTTCCTTCCAATAGTTTTGCTGTGCATTTATTTATTTATTTTAAATCAATACCAGCATTATTGTATTTAAGCTTTGAATTCTTCTTTATTGGTTGGCACTTTTTTATAAATGTCTTTTGTACCTTTAAATATTATTGAATACATTTGAATGTTTTCAAATATTACATAAATTGAATGTATCATAATTTATTTAATCATTTTCCAATTATTTAACATTTAGACTGTTTACATTTTTATTATTATAAAACAGCCTTCAAGGTACATTCTTGCACCTACATTTTTGTTTTTATCTATGGCTATTTCCTTATGACAAATTCCTCCTAAAAGTAAAGTTATTAGATCAAATTATATGAACACGCTTAAGGCTCTTGATACTTTTGTCAAGTTGCTTGAGAGTAACTTTTAAAGAATGCAAATCTTATCATGTTATTCTCAGCTCATTAAACATGTCAAAGCTTTGGACATGGTGTGTTCTTTGCCTAGAACACTATGACCCCTTTTCTTCACCTAGCCAACGCCTACTTCAAAATTTAGCATTAAGTATCATCTATATAAGATATAATGAAATATCTTCCATTTAAATATTTGGAGTGAGTGTATGTTAAAAACTCATTTCGTGTAACGATCACAGCCATTTTGCATAGATATGCTATCTCCCATGTCCAATTTGTGAGTGGCTTTTGCAGTTCAGTGGCTTAGAGGAGATTTAAACCCGATCTATCTGACTCTAAGCCCATGTTCTTTATTAGCATGTGTATGATTTGCTCACTGATCTTCCTATCATTTAGAGTCCTCTTCTCTGGGTTTCAATAGTATCCTGGGTTTACTTTTGTCTTTCTGTTTGTCCATATATCAGTCTATCTGATTAGACTATAAATTCCCCGAGGGCAGTAACTATGTCTAATTCACAGTGCAGGAGCTCAGTGAATGTTCACGGAATGAATGAGGAATGAATAAACAAACCCTGGCTGTATTCTTTTAACTCTGACCTCGGTTTTCCTTAACTTTCTCTGCTGTCACTGATGATGACTTTATGAGCTTGTCGCCTTGGGGGATCCCCACTCATTTCCTCTGATGTCTTGATTCATGCTGAGGTCCACCAACTGAGCAGTGGTGACGTCATAGTCAAGGAACTCCTCTGCCGATAAAGGTGGACTACCAGACAGCAGCCCGCAAATCAAGCAGAGAAAGACAGGTATCAAGTGGAGGGCCGGTGGAAAGTTTCTTTTTGCCCACGCATGTCGGAATCATGAGAGGAAAGGAAACACAGACATAGAAGGCAAAGGCTTAATGGGATAGAAAGAGGCCCCTGTGTGAGACAGGAACTGGCCTCCATTGATTAAAAAGAAAATGAAAAATGAAAACTTGGCACATAATCTTTCATGGGAATTAAAGAGATCAGGTCCACAGGAACCATTGTCCCCTGATGCTCTCCCATCGATGTCAAAACTCATTCCATCCTCTTCTTCCAATACCCGGAACCCAAGAGCAGTGCGCTGTTTACTTAGGCACAATGGATTCCACCCTCCATAACAGGCACCTTCTGTAGGGAGAGTTTCTGAGAACTGCTTGGACCACATATTCCACAGTTTGGTCACCAAAGTTGCAATTATCCTTGATTTCTCCTCTCCACTGTCACCACAAATATCATAGCATCTCCACAAATGCCACCTAAGGTTTGTGTCACCCGCTCAGAAGCAGCAGCACAAATATGCACGTACATGAATATGAGTATACTTGAACACTCAAACTTACATGCATATCCAGAGTTACATAGTCATGTATTTGCAAATACATACATGTACTTGCACATATAATCTCACACACACACACTCACACACGCACACACACTTTCATATATATAAACTAAAGGATGCCCTCTCTAGGCATCTATTCAATCAAAAAAATTTTATTGAGTGCCTACTCTGTGCTGGTCACTGTGCTTCATCCCAAGGAAAAAAAATGAAGGATAAGACATTGTCATTGCCATCAAGGAGTTCACAATCAATAGCTGAGATAGATAGACATCGAGTCAATCACAGAGCAAGATTGTGGATGGCTGACAATGCCATCCAACCCAACCTCAGAGTTTTCCCAGTGAAGGTGGAGGCAGGTCTGATCCTTGAAGATGACTAGGAAGAAGTAGATGAGTTTGGGAGAATTGCAAGCAGTTCAGTATGGCTGGATTTTAGGAGATAAGGAGAAAGGTAGGTGCATCACAAGAATTAGGGGTAGAGAGATAGGCAAGTACCAGATCATGAAAGGAATCCCATGCTGAAATTCCAAACCTAGCAACATATCTAGCTGACTTAACTAATGAAGAACTACCTCCCCCCCAAAAAATTACGTAGAAATACTGAATATAACAGCTCCCTCTTTCTGTTCCTCTGCTTTGAGACTTGTCTGTCAAGTGCTATTGGAAAGGTATAATAGAAAGACTGGCAGACAGAAGGAAGACTAGGGTTTGGTCTCACCAGTTCTTCCATTAACTTGCTGTGTGTCCCCTTTCCCCACCAGCAAGTTATTATGTCTGTCTGGACCTTTGTTCCCCTAGATTTGAAGGAAAAATTTGGACGTTGACCTTAAGGGTCTCCCTAGTTGCATGCTGGGGCCCAAAGTTACATTTCCACTTTCAGCAAAATGCTGACAAAGTGCTGAGCTGGTACAGCAGCCTGAATGGGGCTTGTCTTCCAATGAAACACAGGCTGACCTTGGTGATGGGAAAGGAAGCCAAGAGCCACATGGGTGTATTTCCAGGCCCTGAAACCAGATGGAGTTTGCCTGGCTGGACTTTGAAATTGCTTGGGACCAGTGACTGTTTTTTCCCATTTTCTTTTTTGAACAAGAATGTCTATAACTGTTATTCTATGACTGTCCCATCATTGAATTTTGGGAGCAGATATCTTGTTTCTTGCATTTCTTAGGTTTACAGATGGGAAGCAATTGTGCCTCAGGATGGGTTAAACCCAGACCCTCATCCTTACCTCAATTAGATAATGTAGTTTGGACGATGAGATTTGGGACTTTTGAGTTGATAAGATTTAGGTGAGATTTTTGGATTTCTAGTTGATGCTATCATGGGTTGAGATTTTGGGGGATGTTGGGATAGGGTGAATGTATTGTTTTGCATGTGGGATGAATGTGAGTCTTTGGGGGCCAGAGGGTGAACTGTGGTAGGCAAAATAATGACCCTCTCAAAGATGTCCATGTCCTCATTCCTGGAACCTGTTAATATGCCATATGACATGGCAAAGGAGAATTATGGTGGCAGACAGAATTCAGGTAGCTAATCAGCTGACCTTTACCTAGATTATTCTGAATTATCCGAGTGGGCCCAGTATAATCACCAGGCCCTAAATGTGTTAGGAGTCGCAGGAGAGGAGAACCAGAGATGGCAGCGTAAGGACTGGGCCCAATGTTGCTTGGCTTTGAAGATGGGGGAAGAGGGAGAAACCAAGGGATGTAGATGACCTCCAGAAGCTGGGAAAGGCCTGGCAACAGTTTCTCCCTTAGAGCCTCCAGAGCTGTAAGAGAATAAATTTGTGTTGTTTTCACTCACCAAGTGGGTGGTCATTTTTTAGAGCAGCAATCAAAAATGAATTCAAGGCCCGGCCTGCAGTTTACTTTTCTAGGATCAAAAGTGACAGGTGGCTCAATACATGTGAATGTCCAGCTTCTCTTCTTCCAGGTTGAGGCAACACAGGGAAGGAAATCAGGGGCCAAATGTCATGTTCAGCGGGGTACCCCCCCCTTCTTTCAGATGTTGGCTGTGCGAAGGACTCCCTCGGTGAGTTCCTCCAGCACACCTTATCTCCAGCACTGCTCTATCTGCCTTTGGGGGACCCACAGCTACTCCCTCCCTGTGAAACCCCCTTTAGAATACAAAAGCTCTATAGAAGAGCCTGAGATGAGAGCAGCACCAGAGCCTCACTTGGCAAACAGGCTTTCAGAGATGAAAGCACAGCTTAGACATCTATATCCATACAATGACCACCATATTTCAGGAAGTCGTGCCCTGAGGTGAGGCAAACCTATTCTCCTCCTCTTACATCCAAGACAAACACCCCTCAAACATTCCAGACTTCCGACTCCTTAATTAGTTGTGTTATGAGCTTTTATTTAAAAAGCACATCTAATACAAGTATAGTTTCGCAGATACAAGTTTTCACTTTGTATTCTACAAAAGTCTTTGAATATTATTCTCTTTACAAAATGGACCTTACAAAAATACTGACAATTTAATGTTTTTATACAGTTTTCCCTAGTTGCAGTTATTTCTTTTACTGTAAAACAATGTCTACCACAGAACTATGATATTTTAGTTGATATTAAACAAAATTAACTCAATGCTTTTTTAAGCAGCTAATGTAAATAACACAGGTCGAGACACAGTTTATAATCATAGTGGATATAGCTAAAATTGTTTCAGAAATAATATTTTACATAGTTAACTTTTAATGTTTTATACATTATTTATATAATATTTATATATAAAAATCATAGCTTGCTATAAGTTGAAATGAAAAGGACGGCTTCTGTGGTAAGAATGTGCTTGTAGTTGATCCATGTGGTTACATTAGCCCTTTGAAAGGTTTGCATCCAAGATTTGAAAGCATTTCTTCTTTCCTCTTTTCCTCAAATGTTCAGTAGAAGGGGTCCCTGTCTACTACCTAGAGTGGGACCTTGTGTGGTGGGAGGACACTTATGGATAGAGGATGAGGAAAACTCTTTACGGAGATTTAACCCATGTGTTCTGCCCAGCAGAACCTATCAAGAACTGTCCTAGAGATCAACCCCAAGACCATAGTGCTTTACACAGCTTAGCAAGATAGACTCCCATAGAGACCCTCGTCAGCTCCATTATCGAGAAGGGCAGCCGCTCAGGCATGAGACCGTCTGCTACTCTGGCTCATTCTGACTTGGAGTAGCCAAAAGGTTGGTTCATTTTTCATTCTTGCCCCTTCACTCCCTCCTGTCTTGTACGGAAGGCTGCTTTCCATCAGCTGGTGGCAGACCATGCCTTGGCTCATCTCCAGACCCTCACAGGAAATCCCGGTGGGTACAGAGCAAGGATTTCAAGGGAGAAAGCAGTAACTGAAGCTAACCGTTACTAAGAGTGTGCAAGTGCCCGGGTGATTGATGTACATAACATCAGTATTCTGCAACCGCCGTTTCAACATCACAGGATGATGCGTCCAAAGACAAATGAGGGCCTGTGCCCTCCATCTCTTCTGAAATTGTGCTATTTGTGAAATTCACTCATCCACAAAGAGTCTCCTAATCACTAGTGTGGAGGGATGTGGTGCTGGCCTCTGAGCTGGGACGTGAGTGATAAGGCCTTCGGTCTGGGAATTGGAATTCAGGATCTGATCACTTGACTGAGCAAACTGGCTCTTTCTTTATACTTTAAAAACAAACAAAAACTTCCTGAACCAAAGTCACAGTAGAGATAGAGTGGTGTGGACAAAGAGAGGCACAGGAGGGGAGCCCCCCCCACAATGGCTATTTTCTGGGTTCAGTGCTATTTCTGGCATTGTGTGCTACGATGTGAATTTGAGCTTTTCTCACAGGCCTGGGGTGCCTCCGTCACAAAAGTGACCGTCAGACTCTACTCAAAACATTTTAGTGTCTGTTCCAGAACAAGCCGGTGTTCACTAGAACATGAACACTTCAACCAATTGCACATCCAGGGTTCCGGCACTTGGTGTTAGTTTGCTGTTGTTTCCATATAGGTGAGAACTACCTATTTTGGAAGGCCACAAAAGTAAGACTTTTTTTTTTTTTTCTTTTTAAAATCAGTCGGGCAAAAAGTTTTTCCCTACATTCTACTGTCTGATGAGATTGGAGAGCAGCAAGAACTTGCTGTCAGCAGTCATTTTACAAAAACAGCTCAGGAGGTGGGTGGCACCTACACCATGTTGTGGTGATTGTTCCTGTCAATAATGTCCACAGGTGAGAGGATTTCCTTCCTGATAGCAGGTGGAGGCAGGGAGAGTGTCATCTTGGTCTTGAAGAGGTCGGACACGAAGAAAACCTAGAAGCACAAATCAAGAGATCCAAATTAGTAACGGAGACATCTGGGATTTGGGACAAGCAAAGGGAAAGTGGTTAAGAGCATGGACTTTAGGGAAAGGGGGCCCTAAACCATAGATCTCTGAATAGGGAAGCACCATAGAGGTCATTTTGTCCAACCCTTTTTGCACACATAGGGAAACCGAGGCCTAGAGGAGGGCCGTGACATGCCCAGGTTGCACAGGAATAGAATTCAGTTCCATCAGTTCCCAGCCCAGTGCACCATATTATCTGCAACCCTCACTTCCTTATTTCTCAAAGCAAATGAACAGCAATGAAAGATAAGTTCCTAAACAAAGGAAGCAAGGCATAATTAGCCAGTCATTCATCCACGATACTTTCCCTTTCCTCACAAAAGACTCTAGAGTGTAACCCAAAGAGATCAGCCAATAGGAACTCCCATCAGCCAAGAGTTGGAGTAAGGAAGCAGCTATGACGACTTTTCCTGGAAGCCCAGTGATAGCAACAGTTTGATGGGGGTCAAGGAGCCAGCGCCTCGTTGCTGAGGGAGTCAGCAACTAACCCAGGGGAAAGGTCGATGAAAACTCGCCTATCACTCATCTCAAGGCCTTCCTTCCTCCCTCTGAGCATGCGACCTCACTGAGTCTCTCGTGAATTATTGAGAAACATTTACTAAACACCCACTTGTGAGGGCATAAGGATGGCTCAGGCATAGTTCCTGTCTCAATTAGCTTCTGACGAAAGATTTAAGAACTTCTGATGAGTTACCAGAGTATGAACAATTTATGCCTTGTATTACATGGCCAAATAAATACACAGTCATCCATTTGAGCCATTTAGCAACAGGAGTCTGTATTAAGTCACCATAAGTGGCACCTATCAGTCATGTAATGTAATAGGAAACATATGGCTGCATTTTGAAATGGGGACCAAAACACTTTCAAAGTTCCTCTGTCTAACAGCTTTCTGGATAGAAAAGTCTTTGTCCTGCAGAGGGTCATGTGCTCACAATTGATGATGGCACTGTGACTTCATTCTGGACACATTCTAGGCAAATGAAGTTCTTAATAAGAGTTCACCAACACCAAGTCTCTAGCAGCCAGGACCTGGCTGCACTAAGGACTTGATTTGTTTGTTGAACCAATTGCCACAATGTCCCATCTCTAAACATTAGATCAATCAACAAAATGCCACAAAAAACACAGCAAGAAATTGGTGATGCTGATTACCCCAGGAGAACTGGGTGACCAGAAGACAAAAGTGAAACTGAGACTTACTGGTCACCATAAAACCCTTGATACCTTTTGAATTTTGTACCCATTACATATACGACTTCCTCAAACATTTAATTATTGTCTTTTTGTAATAATAATTTTAAAAGATAATAAGTAGGAAAAGAAGGCCAGGCTATTTCTATGCTACTATAAAAAAGTGAAATATTAGCCAAGGAATTTAAGATTTTAATATATTTACAGTGTAAGCGCTATTGAATTAGCACTTCGCAAAGGAAACAAAATTAAGCTTTGTGTCCCTGTCTTTTCTAAGGAGCTATGAGAACTGGGGCACAGAGAGATGTGTCTCCTAGCCAAACTTGAGAACCGGGAAGAACCAGGTCTGTACTCATCCCTGCCAGGAGGCTCTGGGCTCCCGTCTTAAGAACATTTACAAGAGATCAGAGAAGGGGTTTTCACATGCCTCCAGTGTAAGGAAATACTAATGAGCATGATTCAAGTTAACTGTGGAGGTAAATAAACTTTTCAACTCTTCTCTGACAGCTACAGAGCCAATACATAGCCTCATCTCTACCTGGAAATTACCTTCCCCTCCCGGCCCTTCACTGTGCCCTAAGGAAGGTTTTGATCAATTCTTCCAAGGCTGGCTTTCCAATACCACTCCTTCCAGTCTGGCAGCTACAGCTCCACCAGACCAAGGCTCCTCCTGCTCTCATTTCTGAGAGGTCTTTCTCCCAGCCTCATCCCATCTGCTGAGGGCAAATATAGCAAGGGACAGTCTCCACACCCCCAAACAAACAGACCCCCTTCAAGATTTTGACAACACCTTCATTTATTGGATTATGTCCCAATTTTAATTTTCTGAGGGCGTAGCTATTAGACACTAGAGTTTCCGTTTCCTAACTGCATGATAGGGAGAATATAAAGGTTAAAGGCAGCAATGTACTTGAGAAGACCTACACCTGTGTGTGTCCGGTACATAGTCCAAGGAAAGGTGTTCCTTTCTGTAATGCTCTGGGCGCCAAAGCAATAACTGGACCTAGAGGTCTCCATGCCCTCTCACGTCTCTAAAACTCTGCTTATCAGGCTTTCTTCCTAGATCGGAGGCTCGCTTTATGAGGATGGAACCCTGGACCAAATCCCCCTATATCACCCACAGCACTCAGCACTGAGCTTTGGACACACCAGGGGCTCAATAAATGTTTGTTGTTGATTTCTAAACACCTCTCTACTGGAAGTAAGCACTCTGGCCCTTGGATCCTGTTGGCACATACAATGCCTACAGAGTTCAGGGGAACCACATTCTCACACGCCATGTGCACACAGCCACGCGGCAAGATGAAAAGTTGAGTCGGGGCCAACAGAATCCCCCCCCCCCATCTACCCCCAAGCTGTATTTCACTTTCAGCGTGGTTTGAAGTTACACAAACACTTTTTTGGGACCATAAAACATGGTCCTGTCAAGACTCAAACGGGGCTCAGTCTTCCTAATGCTTGAACAGCAGAGCACCAAAAGGACTTGTAAGAGTGGAAACTTCTTGGCTTGGAGCAGTTCCATTTCCTGCAGAAGATGATCTCTACCCAGAAAGAAAACCCAGAGGCCCAGGTGGGGAAGGGTCTACATAAATTAGAGAGCTATCTTAGGGTTATGGAAAAACCCGCTCCCAGCCCCAGTCCCACTCCACAGATCTTCTCTGTCTTAAAAAAGAACACATTAGACAACAGTCTCAGTAAACACGAGAATCCATACCTGAAGCACTAAGAGGAGTTGCACGTTACACGACCCTGAGCACATGCTTTCAATTCCACCTCTCCTCTTGTCTGCATTTTAGAAATTGCTTTGTTTTTGAAAAATGCAATCAGTAAACACTTATTGAACATCTGCTTTGTGCCAAGCCCTGAGATTATAAAAACAAATATACACAAGACAGACTCCTTTGCCCTCCACGAGCTCACAGGGCAATGAGGGAGCGATCCAGGTAAACAGGCCACTACAATGCAGTGTTTTAAGGACTGCGATAGGGGGAAGCCAGGGTGTTAAAAAAGCACAGAGAGTGTGGCCTCCAACCCAGGCCGAAGGGGAGGGGAGAAGGCTTTAGAAGGCTTTCCCCAAAGGAGGTATATTTGAGTTTAGCTTTGAAGGATAAGTAGGAGTTAGCCAGGTGGTGAATGCCAGGAATGTTGTTCTAGGCAAAAAGAGCAGTGTGTACAGAGGCACAGCAGTGAGAGGGACAGACAGCGCAGCATGTTCGGCAGCTGCAGGAGGCTTGGCTTGGCTAGGGCCAAGCGGTGGATGAGGCCGGAGAGGACCAAGCCTCCTAGGACACATTAAGGAATTCGGACCTTATCTCCTTGGCCTGGGGAGCTGCTCTCAAGGCCGAAATGGGAGCAGCACATTGGGAAGACTTGCACTGAGATGATGATGGCATTTAAGATGGAAAAGGCGTTAGAAAGGGTGCAGAGAGCCCGAAGGCAGTGCCACCAATCAGGACACCATTGCAGAATCCAGAAGATAGTGAGTCCTGAACTATAACCATGCTGTGACGACAAAAAAGAAGAGATGAGAGATGATTTTTAAAATGTTGAAGACAGAAGTACAGTGGGTAGCGGTGGTGTGCGTGTGTGTAGGAGGAGGTGATGCTTTTCTGTCCAGTTCTGTTTTCACCTCTAGAAATCTCTGCACTTGTTCCCATCAAAACTCTTTAACCTGGGGAAACTATGCTAGTGAAACAAATTGTAACGGTGCTTCCCTTTGCCTTCTAATATTCTGACGTCCTCTGAGAGTGTCTTGGGGAAGTGGTTCTGACCTCCTCCTGAGGCAGAATGGAAGACTATCCTGTGATCTGATTCACCCAAGCACTCAGGACAAGGTAGCCCTTCTGTCCAGAGCAAGACTCCACACAAACAAGGCAACTCCAGGCTGGAGGGATCCCACTCACGGTGAGGAGGTGCTAAGACATGTACAGGAAGTCTCCTCGCAAATGGTGACTATCGTTATTATAGCATCATGTCACCATCACCCACTCCCCATCCAACACACACAGCACTGGTAAAAGCTTTGCTTTTTACAGTAGAACAACAGACTGGTCTTCAAATCCAAGTTTTGCCATTTTCAGCAAAATATCTAAAGGAGGAATACATGACGTACTTCAGAGGGTTACTCTAAGGATTACATGACGTAACAAAAGGCACCATTGTGACACATCGCCGGGTGCCCAGTGCAAGGTTAATAAATGGGAGCCATTCTCACTGGCTTGTATGTTCAGTGCCTACCCACACAGCGTGACTTCTCTTCTTCCTCGCGTGTGGAAAGTGAAGGCAGAGAAAGAACTAGAAAAAAAGGAAAAGGAGAGAGCGGCAAATAGGAATGATTACGATGTGTGAGCATGTGACAGCCTGTACAGATTCAAGCAGGACATGAAGACCATGTACGAATGGGAATTTTCCATCGGACAGATAAGGGCTTACTTACGCTCAAAGCCCTATAATTTCTGGGGCTATTTTAGAGAATGAGTCAGCACAATCAACAAGGAAGAAGCTCTGAAGTCTTGTTGCCGTCATTCACCGGCTCTAGAGAGGCCGGCCTCCCAGAGCAAGCACAGCCCAGCCCTGCTGGGGTGCTGCCTGGCTGGGACTCCCCAAGAACCACGCTGGACAGAAACAAGAAGTCTGGTGGTAGCCAGGTTTCCATTCCCATTGCTGCGAATGGCCAAGTCAGCAAATTCTCAGGGTCATTGTAAGGGCAGGTTACGAGAACGAAATTGTCCTT